GAACAACCTCATTTTCGTCCAGATATACAAGATGCACGCCTTTCAGTTTCTTTGATAGAACGCTCACCATTGTCCTGGCCGTCTGAATTGCGCTTACTGAACGTTCTCTCAGGTTGTTCAGCATGGCCTGGTGCTTCACGAGTCCGCCAACTCCGTCACATGCATTTTTTCCCATGTCCAGATGCAGAAAATAACCACTGGGCTTGTGGGCAATCATCCTTTGCACATTGGTGAAGCTGGTAGCGATTCTTGAAATGACTGGTGGCGCCGTCACTTACGTACGTCACGTACGAGTATACCACAACGTTGTCTTCAACCCACTCCTTCACTTTTTCTAGAGCCAAGCAAGCGTGAGCGGCGTCGTGACACAGGTCCTCACTGATGATGGCAAAGCTGTTTGTAGATTTTCTTGTCGTCACTACACATGTAAATATCGAAACTTGTTTTTTTTCCAGTGATATGCTTGCACTTCGTCAGGAAGCACGATGGTCCAGTTTTCAGCAAAGTCAAAATGAAAGACAATGCTCCCGCGTTGCATGCACTGTTTTTCATCGTAGATCGCTTTACCTTGCGTTTGCCGGATATGGTTATGAAGCACCCAACTTCCAACCGTCACTTGGATGACTTTTAGGAAAGTCTCAGGTTCCAAAGTTTTTTTCACAAGGTCGCCGGACTCCCATGTTGCAAGCACAATCTCTTCATCCTCCGGGATATCAAGTTCCTGGAGTGTAAGAAACTGGCCTTTTGGGCAGTGATCACAGTCTCCTTGAAGGCACAGTTCTGTTGCTGGGTCGCACAGAAATGCAGAGTTCATTTCACCAGTGTTGAATGTTGAGCCTGTAACGTTCTCTAGAGCGGCAATACAAAGATAATAATTGGCGCAGCGCACACAAACGCACACTTCCTGGTGTGGAATACATTGGACCCATCTAGGGCGCAACGAATAAAATTTCGTTAGCCCAACGCCGGAATCGGGATGATTGTCTTTGTATATACGGAAGGCCTCTCGTATTGAGCGTGTCATGAAGCGCTTTGGCACGAACGTTTTCTCTCCGTTGAGCATGACAGAGATGACGTCCTTCTGGTTGGGACTTTGGCGCGGACATTGTAGCTCGTCTTTCGTGAAGTACTCTAGGGCAGCAGACAGGTTCTCAGGGCTCACCTTGCACCATGTGTAAGGATCCGGCTCATACCACACGCCATGCTTTTCCTTGAGTTTTCGGGATTTACTGATGAGGTACATTGAGGCCTGTGGAATCATCTTTTGAACCTCATTCTTCGTCGGTGTTGACGGCAGGAGTGTAAGCAGTTGACAACATTCCCGGAGAGAGGTGGCGGTTTCAAAGGCCTGCCGAAAGTTGTCCACCCACTCAGTGCATGTGGAGCATGTTGGTTTGGACGACCCCGATGGTGCGTCCCTGTCGTACGCAATACGTAGCCTTGAGCGTATATTCTTGACAGCAACCTGCTCCAGTTCTGTCTGCTTTCTCTTGACATAGGCGGGCCTGTCCCGACTTCTTACGACGCTTGGTTGACTCAGCGGCGACACATCTGTAGGTAGTATGCTGCGATTTAGATCTTCAATTGCTTCTTCAGCTGGCACAAATATGTCAGGGCACTGCTCTGAGCTTCGCATCGAGATCTCCCTAGTGATGTGCATGAAGCAATGGTAGCACAGGTAGTCCGTCGCACTCACTTTGGTGGAACAGTCAGGCGGAAGAATTTGCTTCAACGAGTTTAGGTCCAACTCGCCAACACTTCGAAAATTCCGCTGCTTTGGTATAGTCTTTTTGTGTTTGCAAAAGTAATCTGCACAAAACACTCGTTTGGAGCTCCAGGACGTCTTCATAATGTATACATAAATAATAGAAATTAAACCCCAACTGATGGCATATAATTGCCAAGTGAAAGAACTACTGGGTGCACAAGTGACAAGTCCGAGGCTGAGGAGCTCACTCACTGCAAACATACATTTGAAAAGAGAGGTCACAACTGAGGCTGTCGGCAAAGCTTGATCCACGTCAAAGGAAGAAAGAGGGAAAGTCTCCAGACAAAAAATTGTGGTCAGCGGCCTTCGAAAAAGACTTTCTGGAATCGCACTGTCGTCCCTCCACGCGCTGATATGAAAGCACCCGAGCTTCTACCACGTGGTTCATGACACAGCCTGAGCCATGTCGGCGACCGGTTCGCGAGGGGTTGGCGGTGGGGTTACGTTGATGGTCACTCGGATTAGCCCTTGCTGTACTGAGCTACCGCCTGCAGTGCCTTATCGCCGGCTGGTGTCAACAATGAGAACACACTCACCCTGTCTACACCAAAACTACAAGCGTTCACCGCACACGCGTCGCCGCCGCTTTTAAGCTTTTGTGAAATTGCTTTCTTTTGCCGCGGAGAACCGCCTTATCTTAACTACGCGCCTGAAATCCTTCCAGGCGGGCGTACACAATATCAAGCGTTTCAAGAAATGCCCGTGGAGTAGAACTATGGGAAAATTCGGAGCCCGCGATGTCGATATCGTCGCCGTTGTGTTAGTACGCCGTCGCGTACTGCAGTCCCCCGTTGGGGGAGGGGGGGGGGGGGGGGGGGGGGGGGGGGCGGTCTTACTACGATAACATGGCGACAGCGTTTACACTCTATGTATTTACGCGAGGCTCGAGTATTTGGGGATAATGCTGCCGGTTGGTGTGCCCCTTTGTGCCTGATATTATCGCCCTTGACGCCAGCGAGTGAGATGGCGACAGGCATGACTGCTCAGTAAACAGGCGTCGGCGGCCATGTTTTGCTGGTTGAAGCGAACCCCCTTGTCCTTGACAGCGAGCGGGGAAATGCGAAAAAAAGATTGTATCGGCCGTTTTGCCAGAACTAGCGACGAGTGTCGTCTGCGGTTTCCGGCAACTATTTTGCCATAATCGTGAGCTTAGCGAGGAAATGATTTTTGCTAGCCACAGAACACTACCACGCAGGAAGGGAATGCTTGAACATGTTTTTGTTCTGGATATATATCAGGGATATATATGAGAGAGAGAGAGAGAGGGAGATGAAGGTAGAGCAGAAGAGGGAATAGCATATAGTGTCGCAGGAGAATAAAGTAAACAAAGTTCCTAGTGGCCGATGGCTGCATGATCTTTTCTCGGATCACTAGTCCGTAATATGATACCTCTTTGTACACAGTAGTTTCTCCATAATTTAAGTGTGTGAACGATTTCTTTAGCTATCATTGGCCTCATCTGAATAAAAATATATAAAAGATGTGTGTTGGTTTCATGAAACTGGAACTCAGAGTCAGTTCTTGTATAAAACACTGCTAAGTGTAGGCTTTGAAAAAGGACCCTACTTTGGGGAGTTGTATCTTCTTTCTCAATAAAATGATGCAACATGTTTTTAATGAAAATGAATGCCGAAATAGAGTATAACAGGTTACCTAAATTTAAAAAAAATCAAGGGTGGTGTTTTTTTTTCTATTTGCATCGGAATTTTTCTTTGTTTGATTTTTTTTCCATGTTTGACTAAATATATCCTAACTATTGTATCACACAGATACCTTAGTTATTTTTTAAATATTAGCTATATATTAGTAGAATAATATCTGCAAATTATATCATAATGATTAAATTATTTCATGACATACAGACCTCCAAAGTTTGCCATTTGTCGTTCGAGCAGACATGTTTGTCAATTTTTAGAAAAATAAATAAATTTTAAAGAAATATGATTACTTTATATTACAAGCAAGCTATACCCATAGTTTGCGCCTAAAACGTATTAGAGTTCTCCTAATGTTATCGCTTTAGTTATTCACTCTCAAACGGGCCCCCTCCATCAGTGCGCGTTAATGCAACTGTCCACCACCTCATGCCTTACGATTTTTCCTCTCCCCAAGTATTTTTTCTAGTCAAAACTAAGTTTGGATTCGTTCATACCAGACACTAGACAATAACATATAAAAACGTCAGTTGATTTGAAAATGTCGACTAGCCATCCTTTGGTCGATCTTATCTGAAATCACCCAGAAACAAAAATGCGGGAAAAATTTGGAATTTGCATGTCATAGGAAGAGATACCCCGCATAGTATGGATGCTGCAGATTCGCGTGTCACGGTGCGATAAGCACGAGGGAACCTGCGGTGAGCACGCTTGTCGCGTACCAATACAGCATATCACACAATAGATAAAATTTTAAAAAAAAAATTGTTTGACTAGTTTTGGCGCAAATGTGCGCTTGGGAGCAGGATGGCGCAGCAAAAGTGGATTGGCGCACAATGGCGCCATTGGTGCAGCGCTTCCACCCCTTATAAAAGCAACGGCTAAACACGCCAATCACAAACCGAAGTAGCGGTGGTAGCGGCTCAAAGAAGCGCACTTCGCGCAACGCCCGGACCAAAGGAAAAAAAAGAGAACGATACTGACGTCACGGCCCAATGTTGCTTTAGCGATCGGCAACCCGCTAGCCGCCCGCTAAGGAGCAGCGGCTCGCGGCGGGTCGCATTTTTATTATCGGCATTAGTTGAGAATGCGGCGTCCCCCGGACGTAACTTTTTGGCTGGGGACGTATTTTGTGTCACTACAGCCATACCAGTAATTTATTTCATTTTGAGTTTTGGCCGGAGTTGCCCTTTAAGCTATGCCTCGCTGAATGTAATTTTCGGTTTGGATTAAAGCACTCCAAGCAGGAATAAACAGCTCATTAATCAGCTACCGTATTTCCCAAACCAAACACGTTTAAAGGCCAAAATATTGCGTGTTGCTGTTCATTACATCAAGAAGTGACGGATCTTGTGAACAACAGAGTATGACAATGACCTATGCGCAATACAAGTGCTTTTGCAATATAATAAGGCGGGCATTTGTCGAGGTGTGCTCTGTTCAAGAATTTGATGCACGGGTTGTGCACCGATTGCCAACCACCCGAGGAAAACTTTTCTTCGACCGAAATCTGTTTCTGCGGACTACCTATACATGCCAGGTGCAGACAGCGGTCCGGAGAAGGTGGCAATGCTCACCAATGGTGGAGGTGTTGACGGTGGGCGAGGTGGTGGTGAGGGTGGGCAGGTTGGTGAACTGGTTCTGGAATGCGAGGACGCACTTGTAGCTGCAGAAGTTGCGGATAGAGGTGTCACTCATGGTCAGGTGGTACTGGGCTGGCTGCATCTTGCTGCAGTTGTCGCAGCGGATGGCCCTCGACGATGAGGCGCTCTGGTTCACCCGGAACAGGCTAAGGCAGTTCAGGGAGCAGAAGAGCTGCGACAGGCTTGGCGAGTTGGCGGGCTCCACCCGCTCCACCATGTCGAAGTTGTACTTCTTCACCTGGGGAGAGGGAAGGGGGCGCCGGCACTAGAGCGCGGGTTCTCAAACCGGGTTTCTCGGATCCCAAGGGGTCGCCCAGAGTACCCTTGGGGGGAACGGTGGCCGAGTTTGATGGCGCAGCTCAGCCAGAGCACGTGTAGTGAAAGGTCGCACTCCCAGGCATCCTGGTTTTGATCCCTGCCCCCAACTGTTCCGATCTGGACGAGCATCGTATCGGCATGTGGTTGTGAATCACCACTGCGTGATGCACATGACATACTCCAGGCTGGCGGTTGTACTGCACTGACTAAATTTCTCATCTACAGCCGAGAAACCAGACGCCCATTGAGGTTGTCTAACTTCCAGCTGCATAAACATAAGTACAACACAGTTATTATTTTTATTCAGTACCCTCATGGGTCTCCCACATTTGCAGGTGTCCTGGAACACCTGTGCCTCCAAGTAAAGTGTTGTTACAGAGGAGCTGTTAAAGGGGGGGTGCAACGATTTTAAAGGTGAAAAGAATTTGCATCTCGTCATTTTTATGTTTATTTTGCACCGGAAGATAGAAAAAACATCTCCTTCATTAAAAAAAATGTTGCAATTGTGCTGCATAATCGCAAAGCAAAAGTCGAAGTTTTTCGACCCCTGCAGCTGCGAGTGGCAGTTAAAGGAACTAAGGCGAGAAGCTTACATGACCTCGCTCGGCTCTAAGCTGCAGCATAACGCCCGCCAATGTCAGCAGAGAGAGGGAGAGGAAGCGTCCTCCGAGAGAGCACGGGAACCTACATGGCACCCCAAATTACAACACTAGGAGTGCGACCAGGTGTGACCCTGAAGACAGGGAGTGACTTGAGGGGTGCCAGAAATGCCAATATTCATCTTTCTTTTTGTTTTTTACACCAATACAGCAAGCAGGCAAAATCGGTTTTCTTTTCTTTACTTCAGAAGTGTCAGAGGGTCGACACAAAACTAACATATGTCAACACAAAACTCTGGACAGCTACCGCCGTCGCTCATAGATGGAGGCAACCTCTCCAGCTATCATAGAAGAATGGATAGTTATGCGAGTTGGTGGGAATTCATCGTAGGAAACAGCGCGCAAAACAGATGAGGACAAAGAAGAAACACACGGGATGAGCGTACAGCTTTGCTGGTCTTCCTTCTTCACCAGAATGGAAAGGCTAAAAAATTTTCTGTTTCAAGCCCCATTTTAGCAGATTTGAGCCACAACTATGAGCTTAACACTCATCTGCATTGATGTTTACAAGGTCTGTAAGCTTCCGCACTGTTTTACTGCGTCAATGCCAAGACAGCGACGGATTGCTCAGCTGCTGCTGTTTAAGACAGTAAAGCTCCTCAAGGTCGACAAGTTTGAGAACAGTTGAGCTAGAGCAACTGTGTATGTATACTACTCTGGTTGTGGAGCAGAATGGCACAAGGGTCTCCCATTTCGGTCATTCCAAGCCAAACGTCCCAGTCGTTGCGCTCTACCATTTCCGATTTTTAAAAGAAAATTCATGGCTTTTTACCCCAAACATCCTTAACCTTTTCCTAAAATGTGTTTGCTGAAAATTTATTTTTTATTGCGCGAGCGTGGTTTTATCTTTTGAATTGGGCGTAAAACTAGGCATCAATCAATTATTGAGTAAAAATAGGATTTTCTTCAAAAATGCTTCACAATTTATGTTATGACATTCAAACGGCTCTTAGCTTGCTATGTTGTGATGATTATGGATATTTCATCGTTAAAATGTTTAAAAATAATTCAACAGAATGCACAAAAATTAACTCTTTTCTCAATGTTTTGTTTAATTATGGCTTTGTGCCTGGCAAATATAATATTTTCTTTTGGAAGCTCTGTAGATGTATTACAAATTAAAAACGTTTGAAATTGTACAACAAAGTACTTCAAAGAAAATAAAAATTATTAAGCTGTGAAAAAGCCTGCTTTGCTGCCTAAACAGCCGTTTATTCTACCCTGGGGCGGTCCATTCTAGAAGAAGAGTTTATTGAATTTTATTTCTGAAAGTTTAATCAAAATAATTTTCTTCAGAAAAAGAGAAAACAAATTTTGAAGTTGATCCTTTGCGTCCAAACTGGCATTGTTTCTTTGCGCTTCTTCACTGCACAACACGCCACCCGACACGAGAGCTGAGAAGCTTTGCAAGCACGCAAGGCAATTGCTGGTTGGAAGTGTGATTTTCGGAGAGGGTTATACGAATGCGCATTCTTGACTCGCAATTGCTTGGTGTATACGGTCACTACCTACAGCTAAAGATGCACCTCGGTTTCCACTCGTCCTTCTTTTCGGCTGTAACGCGAAGAACAGCGGATATGATGTTATAATCGTACGTGCTGCCTCTGCATAGCAGGCTCGTTGCGCGCTTTGTACCGATGTCAGCTCATCTCACTCCGAAACCTTTTTTTTTTTTTTTTTTTTTTCTGTTAATTATTTTGTTGCACGGTATCACATATTTTTCATTTGTAATAATTAATCCCTCGTTATAACGAAATCGCTTTTTTAGAATTATCGGTTCTATCGAAGTTCAACATGGTCCCGACTGAAATGCACGCATTTTGAACACGATTATTCTAAGTGCATTGGCGGCTGACCACGCTTATTACGAAGGCCGAGGTGCCGAAAGCACGCAAGCCTACACGAAGGCGCAAAAGGATCCTTGCCTTCCTTCCCTCTTCTCCAACGAGGCAAACAAGAAGACAGAGCAAACGGGTGACGGAAAGCAGAGCACGCAGAGAGCCGCTTCCGGTGTCAATGGGCCGACGCGGCCAGGGAGCAGCGTCCACGTTCCGAAGCTACTCCCGGTGCCCGTGGCCGACACGCTGCCAAACTTCTGTCAGAATCAGGTCAAGGGAGTGATGGAGCTGATGGAGCTTGGAGGGAATCACCCGATCAACAGCCCCAAACGTGCTTGCGGCATACGGTTGCGTTGCGTGGGAGAGTGGGAGTGTTTACCGAAAGTCGCTTAGATCTGCGAGGTTGAGAAAATTGGCCGGCGAGGGTCCAAATTCGCCAAAGAATTCGACACTCCGGCATCGACTGTTTGACACTGTCCACCATTTTGCAGAACAAGCAAGGCATATTGGACAGGTTTGAGAAGAGTCTCTCATGCAAAAAAAAAAAAAGCGCACCCGCGACCCGAAGATGAAAAATTGCCAACTGCTCTGCGCAAGTCGGATTTTCTTCTGAGAGCATGCTTGCTAAGCCGGCGCACAATTCCCTGAGCTGCAACAATCTCTACAGGAAGGTCTGTAAACATGTTGGCGTAGCCACCGAGGATAACTTTAATTCATTTACGCTTGTTAATGCGGACATTCCCTTTGTTGCTCCTGCAGTGGATGCTGTATTCGTATACCTTGCGTGCAGCTGGGGTAAACACAAAGCGACGTCGGAGAAGCACCTCGGGAATTGCCGACGACTGCGGAGATGAGAAACATCCTACGGCTGCTTTGAAGCAAAGTGGAGTGTAGCCACGGGGACAGTGTTCTTGCGATGCCTGGAGCAGTTGGAGGAGAACTGATGCTTGGATGAAATTATTGGCAAACTCCACTCAATTATTGTAGCGTGAGCTACACTGGCCGAGGTTGAGCAGTTTCGCATGGCTGTCAAAGAGCCGTGCTGAGCAAGCGCGAGGAGCAATGACGTCACACGGCGCACAGCTGGTGCGCCAGAGCCGCCGCGCGCTCCGCCGCCGCGCGCGCCACGCTGGTCTGCGCATGCGCGAGGAGCAGTGACGTCACACGGCGCACAGCTGGCGTGCCAGAGCTGCTGCCGCCACCGCCGCGCGGACCTGGCCGGTCTGCGCATGCGCGAGGTGCAGTGACGTCACACGGCGCACAGCTCGCGCGCCAAAGCCACCGCCGCCGCCGCGCGCGCCTGGCCGGTCTGCGCATGCGCGAGGAGCAGTGACATTGTACGGCGCACAGCTGGCGCGCCGGAGCCGCCGCCACCGCAAGCGCCTGGCCGGTCTGCGCATGCGCGAGGAGCAGTGACGTCACACGGCGCACAGCTGGCGCGCCAAAGCAGCCGCCGCGCGCGCCTGCCGGTCTACGAATTTCAGAGGAGTGACGTCATAGCCACGGCAGACGCACTGGCGTCACCGCGTGCCCAGCTGTGCGCCTCCGTTGCGCAGTAGCCAAGTCTGACGCTGCACTGGAGCCGCTTGATAGTGCCTCTCATTTTGTGCGCACAAGCTCACGCTACGTATATCCCGGCATAGCCGAGCTAAGCCACCGCAAATTATTTTTTTTTACTTGGTAAAGTTGTTTATAACCAAGGTTTGTTTGATTAAACAAACAGACAGAGTGTTCTGCAGTGTTCCTGTCCACCTTCAACCCTGCTATCGCTGTTTTTTTGGCTCTCCCGCTTTTATTTAATTACACATTGAATTTTTTTGCTGTCCCATTGTCTTTGTTCAAATGAGAGATTACTGCACATCTACAGGGCTTCTAAAAGAAAAAGTTATAACTGCAAGGCACAAAGGGATATTGAAACAAAAAATTTAGAAAAGTGCTAACTTTTGTGCATTTGTTGATTTTATTTTTAAATATTTTACCAATAAAAATTTTATAGCCATCATAACCTAGCAAGCTAAAAGCCGTTTGAATTTCATAACATAAATTACGAAAAATTTCGAAGGAAAAAAATATGATTTTTACTCAATTATTGAATGATGCCAAGTTTTATGCCCATTTTAAAAATAAAAACCACGCTGACGTCATAAAAAAAAAATGCAAATATATTTTTGGAAAAGGTTATAAAGGACTTTGAGGTAAAAAGCCACGAATTTTCTATTAAAGACTGAAAATGGTCGAGCGCAGCGTCCAGGACGTGTGGCGCAGAATGACCCATTTTTGTTTCAACATTGCCATGGCGGTGAGAGTGGTGCTAATCGTCCTCCTCAGAAATCCGCACGTGCTTGCAGTGCGCACTCGTCGTCTCCTCGTCCTTGAATTGTTTTCGGGCCTATGACCCCTTCTCCACCAACAGGGAGTTGACGGCAAAAGGAAAACAAAAAGGCCATTTTAAGGGGGGACAGTACTCAAGAGGGTCCAGTTTTGCACCTATGGCTCAATATGCATAAAATTTACAGCATATGCTGGCAGTTGCGAGGCAGAATGCAGTGCAAAGTTTAATCTGTGTGCATGAATTGTAAAATAAATTACAGTTGTTTTTATCAGGAACACCCAGACTTTGTTTTGGAAATACATTGTTAGGAAACTAATGTTATACCCATCATTTTTCTACTCTAGATCTGCAGCACAATGCCTGAAGAATGCAACTGTGAAAACAAAATTTTCCGAAAGTAATTAATTTTATGCTAACATTGAAGTGAAAAATCAAAGTTTTTGCCTTTTATGTCATTGACAAAATGTTAACATCTTTTATAAGACATTCACAAAGTCAAAATACAATTCCGAAGTTGCATTGAACATAAAATTTCAGTTAGGAAAAACAATGAGTGAGTCTTTCCTCTTGTCCCATTAAAGGGGCCCTGCAATGACTTTTTTACTAATTTTTAATTTGCACCGAACCTGAGCGCACTGAACGTAGTAACTTAGTGAAACTTTTCTTTTCTCGAAATTCCATTTATTTTAAAAGTTATAGGCAAATTAAAATTACAAAAACAAGCAAAAAATAACCTCCCTCATGACGTCCTTGGTTGCTTGAGACTGGCCATGAACTAGAGGAGAAGTAGTGAGCTCATCGAGCGCTCACGGCTGCCGCACTCCGAGTCGACGGCGCGAGAGGGCGCCATTGAAGCGTGTTCTGAATAGGCTGTATGCAGCGGGCAGCCAGAGCGGCTCTCATTGCATTTGCTGCGCGATTAAATACTAATTCGGCATGGCACTTCATTGGCCACAAACGACAGCAAACACGGGGTAAAGATCAGTTCAGAACGGGAGCCACTTCGCGCTGCCATACCGCCAAAGGGCTAAATCGCCAGCCAAGCCCGCGCCGAGAGCCTTCAGAACGCTTGGAACCGGTCGGATCCTCGAGCCGGTATACGACCGCAGCGCCGCCGCGTACATCCGGGACCTTTCCGTGTCGGCGCCTGATCCCACTATTCCTTTCTAGTATGCGTCGCTTTTTCCACCGCTTGGTGGCGGGTATATCGGCGGGACATTTCTTGTTTCCGTACTTTATGAACTGCATTCGTATCTTTTTTTATCTAAAATACCGAACAAAAACTACTTTTATAAATAATTGAAACGCTTCGCGCCACTTATATTTTGTATTTCGACTAAAAAGAAGCTTTGAGCGGCTCTGATCAGTAGTGAGCCCAGGACCAAAGACGTCACATTTTGCGCGCTTTCGGTACCGTGGGTCGCCTTCGTCGGTGGAGGAGGTTTCCGCGTCGTCCGGTTAAAATATGACGCACTGATATTTAGTTACTCTCTCCGTGCGCGCTGGCTTGCCCGAACCCCAAGAGACATGGAAACCGCAAAAAAGGTGGACGCTTAAATATGATTGCGGGGCCCCTTTAACAAACAATAGTTCTCCTAAAGTGAAATTTATGGCAAAAAACGTAATGGAGAAAAATGTGTGGAAAGTGCTTCAACCCCTACCTTTCCCTTAGCATTAACGGACCGAAAATAATTTATAGAAAATTAACAATGCAGTGTAAACTAATGAAAATTTCTAGGAATACTCTCAGGGGTTCTCAAACTGGGTTCCAGGGAACACAGGGGTTCCACGAGCTGGTCCCATGGGTTCCGCAAACACCCAAATTGCAACCCAACCCAACCCCCCCCCCCCCCCCACGCTGCAGGCTGCGCAGCAGGACCATGCAAAGTGCCTTCATCTCACTTTGTACTGACATCGCGATTGATATGGTGGGGATATAGGGGAAGCAACAGAAGCAAGATTGCCTACAATTGTGCACCTGTTGCTTCTCGGTCGGCAAATATGGAGGGAGGGGGAGGAGGGGGGGGAGTGTTCCGCGGCAGTTTTTGAGGCTTCCTGGGGTTCCGTGAGACCAAAAAGTTTGAGAACCCCTGCTCTAGATGTTGGTGGATGTAAATTTGGCATCTTTTAAAACTCCATTTTTTTTTCCAAAATTTTTTTTTTGGGCAGTGTCCCCCCTTAATACTTTATTCACTGCTAGAGGCCAGCTCCTCTTTTTGAGATGGTCGCAACACCATTGATAACACGCCCAGTGGAGGAATCAAGAAGCCATAATGTAGTCTTTAGCTGGCTTTTAGTCGAAGCCTTTAGGAGGTTTTCAGTCAAACGATAAAGCGGTTCCAAGGTGTTTGATTGATAACTCTCGGTATAGACCGACACACTGTTTATAAACAATCCCAGGTTTGCCCACACCAGGTGTGGGCACTGCGCGAGCGCAGAAACCATATTCGCGTGAGGTGAAGCTTCTGTGCATGCGGCATGGCGAGAACAGCGCCACCGCAGAGGTGTGTTGTCTAAGCCCCGTGTTAGTCTATAAAGAAACTACTTATTTCAAAGCTGATATCTAACAAAACTGAGTACCTTGCTGCATGCAGCAACACAGAAGTATTTTTCAGGCTTGTTCAAAGATGTGTCCGGATATGACAATATTCGGTCACGGCTGAACTTTTCAGTTTTCTTACCATCCTCGATCTCACCGTACAGGGACAGATCGTTATGTCATTCCATAGCTCTCCGAAGCAGCTCTGCGAATTGGACCACTCGAGGAAGCACTCACTTTGCACCAGGAGCAAGGGACAATCTTCCGGTGGGCAAGCACAAACAGGTTGATGCAGCCCTTGCTGCAGAACTGCTGGCAGGAACTATTGTGGTACAGGACAAAGTCCTGGTTGTCTTTGCCTTCAAACAGCTTGTGGCAGTTCTCACAGACAGACGACTTGATCTTGTTGGCATAACGAAAGCTGGACACACAGATTTCGCTGCAGAGCCGATGGGATTCGCCGTTGTACTCCACCTAGAATGCAGAACAACCCTTCAATGGGCAAGTCACTCAACTTACACTAGTCACCAAAAGGAAGAGAACGGTAGGCATTTCTTTCCGTTGTTCTCCCTCCAGCACGCAACCCTTGCCTTCCATCATGCTTGGTCTGCACGTCCACACTCTGGGCTCGCAAGATGCCAAAGCACTATCAAAGGTGGGAAGCTCCCGCTGGAGGCCGGAACAACTGAAGGAACTCCCTGCCACTCTAATCCTATCAGTGACAAAACAATGCTATTCGGTTCTGCAGCACCTAACGAGGTCACACCTAGAAAAATTGATTGCATGTTCTGTCATCCTTTATAGGGTGGGTGACGCCCTTAGTTTGGGTGGTGCCTAGGGCAGGATGACCCTTAGTCTTTCAATGCCTGGGGTGGCAAGCTCTTAGTTCATGTGGTACCTAGGGCAGGGTTTTGTATAGAAAAAGATCATATCATGAGATTGTCCCTTTGCGATGCTCAGCACCCTTCCCTTCAGCACCACCTGGATACAGAGCCTTTGCACTGAATTTTCTCGGTCACAGAGAGGGGAAGCGCGGTTTCCTGCCCTTTTTACTCCACCTCGTTCCGCACGCTCTTTCTACACGACCTGTTTCTGCTCCTCTCTTTCTTTCCCTTTCCACCCCTCTCCACTCAGCATGCTTTCTCCCACCACCTACTTCTGCTCCTCCTGTTCCTGACTGCAGTGTGCGTAGCTTGGTCAGCAGCACACTCGGCTTCCTCACTGGTGACCGGGGTTCGATCCCTCGCACCGGTTGCAGTTTTTTTTTCAGGATCGTTTAGCCATTATGGACTGACTGACCTACACATTTTGTGCTTTTGCGGCTCCCGAGTTTGGTTGGCCCTATAAAGCTACCACTTTAAAACACATTGATGTAAAGAAACTAGAAACATGCAGTTGTGGGGGATGAAAGAATTAAGGTGACTCCAGAAGTCTCCGATGTCACATTCTTTCGCGCTGGTCTTCGAATTTTGATCTGAATTTGTATGTTTTCTCTCGGCAAATGTGCAACTCTGCAGCGGAAAGCCTTCAGAGTGGCGTCCTGACACCTTAATCAAATGCTTCAAACAAAACACCACCACTTTCTTTGGTGTGTCTCAGCCACCAAAGGGCAAGCTCACCTGGTACTTGGTGGTGGCTTCCTTGCTGCACGACACACACTTGTGGGTAGTGAGGTTGGCGGCGTTGAAGGCGTTCATGCGCTCGTAGCGCTCCATGCACTGCTGGCTGCAGAAGTCCTTGAAGAGGCCCTTGTCACCCACAGGGGCCAAGAACCCCTCCTCCTGCTTTGACAGGTCCTTCTGGCACAGGCAGCACACCTGCGGGCCCAAAGCACAAGTCGCTCATTTCACCCAAGCATCAACTGTTAGACCAAAATAATGCAAAAAAAAACACGAAGCTGAGCAGCTAATTTTTACTGTTTCCTTCCTGTATGAGCATATCTTCAAAAAAAAAAGTGCAAGCCTACAAATCCCCAGTTAGCAGGCTCGAACCCTAGCCAAGGTGCCCACAGATGTCCACTATCTAGCGTCGGTAGGTCCCAGGGCGATTGGAATTAATCCTGTGACCTCCGCTGGGGCATGCCAATTGTCCCTTTGCTAGTTTAGCACATAAGACCTCAAATTTGCTTTATTTAGAGCGAGCTCTCCAAATATCTGAATGAACTCAATTGCTTTCTCTGGTGTTTAGCTATATTTTCAGAGCAAAGTCATTATATCTGGATTTACTGAACAGAAATAGGTCACAACTGATCATAGCACAATTTCCCAACTTTTCAGCTCGTCTATTTATATATAAACTTCAATATTGGCCAGGTAATCAAGTCAGGCAGGTAGCACTAAATGGTAAAATGATAGTTTTCAAATAAAGGATAACCAGAATTTGTGTCGGATCATGATGTGACAGTCAGAGGTGCCGGCAAACTAGCTTACAATGCGCCTAAATTTTATCATGCAGGTATTTTCCAAGTCTGTGCAATGCAAGAAGACTGAATCCAAGCAGCCTGTCCTTGCATTGGAAAGGCTCAAAACGACACAGCACCATACGACTTTCTTTTTTTTTTTTTCAAACAGAGTTGCAACAAAATTTGAATGTTGCTATCGAAGGATGTAAGTAGCGACAAGCACCGACCAAGAACTGAACCTTGGCAAAGCACAAAACAAGCACTTCCAAGTATTTCTATTGTCATACAAATAGCAGTGTACTTCAGCTGCATGGGCAACAAATAATAATTGCTTGTTTCTAATGCACCAATTGGCTGGGCCTAGAATTTAATCAGTGAAGCAAACTGAACACGATTCCCACCCAAACACTGACACTTGTATGCAATCTGTAGTTCTGTGCTTGATCGAAGCAGATGACAGAAAAAGAATTCAGCCCACAGGCCTCGTCTTGGTTAAACGTTGAGGGGTGTGTGGCAAACAATAAAACTTCTACGGGCAACGCAAAAAAGAAGAAGTTGCCGCGAACAAAACCAGCGGCGTTAGCTAAATGGAGCAAGAAGGACGAAGAGGTCACAAGCACACGGAATGAAGCATCCAGCTTCAACCGTTTTGCCTAGCTCCAACGCCTCATCTTTTGCCTCTAAATAACGTACATAAAGGTTCGCCGCAGGTTTAAACGACGACCACAAGTTCTTTCGCACAGGCTGGACAAAGCGCCCCACCCCCAGTTTGATCTCCTCGCCACAACCACATGAAAGACAAGCCGGCGCCGGTCTACACCTCTTTGGCACGAGAGTCACGACGACAAATGGCAAACCTTACGGGTTCACCATTCCTCGTCCCAACTTGTCCGACCTCGAGGCTTGCCGCCCATCGTCGAGACTCCCGTGCCGCCTTCCGGACGGCCAGGAAGCAGAGTCACCCACCTTGAGGCCCCTCTTGAACTCCTCGAGGCACTTGCCGGAGCAGAACTGGCGGATGTCTGCCCCGAAGCGCACGCAGTACTTGCCCAGCGACAGCTGGTTGACGGCCACTACGCAGTGGGCACAGTGAGAGCCCAGCACGCTCTGGTAGCGCCGCAGGCAGTCCTCTCCGCAGAACTCCATCGTCTCCCAGACCAGGAAGGGGCCCTCCTTGCCGTCCACCACCACCTGGCACTGGGCGCACGCTCGCTTCGGGCCGTGCACCTGTACCGACGGGAGGACGAGTGAGGAAAGAAGCTCGCCATTTCAGGCATGGCGCCTCAAACCAGAGCCATATATTGGGAGAGTCTGGCCAGTGGGCGTGGCGACGAAGGTGCTGCAAAGTAGGAAAGTGAAGGAAAGGAAGGAGAGCGCCGAAGGAGCGAGAGAGGAAAGAGGGAGGAAAGAGAAAACGACCGCCATTTTGACGAACACACATTCAGCGCAGGGCACTGTTCAGTTGACGTATTGCTTGCCATGGTCCACTTCTTTTTTGCCTGAATAAAAGTTTGTGGTCGTAAGTAGAGAAAACTTTATTTGTTAGCTATTTAACCCACCAAGGAATAACACTATCGTATTTACTCTCATAATGAACACACTTTTTTTTTCTCCGAAAAATCAACACATATCTTGGGGGCCTCTATTTCATTACGTGGGGTAACACTTTTGCATGTACACACTTTGTGCAAATGTCATTTTAGGTGCCAATATGACATGGCACGGTACTGTGGCAAGTCTCCGCTGACGGAGGCGCGCCCATAACTGGTCTTGGGCACGTCATAGTAATCATGCTCTATGAATTGCGAACCTTTTTTAAGGACGTTTTTGACATGCCTTTTGCCGAAGGAAAAGTGCCCTACGAAGCTGACTCAGACAGAAAGCGGCACGACCATTCTTAGATCTAACCACTTTCCCGATATCACTCCTCGAAAGCAGATCACAGACAGCAGCGTGTTTGTTGACATCAATGCATCCGATGGACGAAGTACGTCCGAGGCTGGGCAATTGCTTGACCCCAGCTTTGCTAGGCGTGCGCACCGCTTGGTTTCACGATTGATCACTTCCGCAACCACGAAATTGCAGCCATTACGAAAGTGGCTTGGCTTGGCTTGGCTTGGCCTGGCCGCAAAAGAAAATTGGCAGGCTTGGTGGCGAGCCAGCTAGCTAAGTTGGACGCAGTTCAAGACTCATGGAGCAGAAAATTAAAAGTGCATTCATTATGCAGGGGGAAAAAAGAAGTACATATATTGATGGCCGTTGTGGCAAATGCGTTCATTATGCGAGTAAATACGGTATATCATTCTTTTTGCCAGAGCCTGCAAAATAAAAGGAAAGAACTGAAATTTAAAGGGACCATGAAATGATTTTAAAATCGAGTTTCATCCACCGCACGTTGTAAAAGGTGTGAAAAGAAACACAAAAACACAAAAATAGGGAGCCAAAAAAAATTATTTGCTATAGAACTTTTAAAAGAAAACTGGACTCTTTTGCGCCTTCTTTCCCTCGAAAGCTCTCTGCCTTTTCACTACGATGCATCCGCGGAAACGGAGCACAGCAGCCGAATCCACGTCGCCTATTGGGTAAGAGCCTACCTCACCAGCACCGCGATCGTAAACAATAAATAGCCGGCGAATGTTTCCTAAAAGTTTTGTTAAATAGTATTCAGATCCACATTTTGTAGTATAATTAGAGATGTGTGGCGAAAATTGCCAAATTTGATAATGCTGAGAGCCAAGTGCCATCTATCGTGTGGTAAACGAAGCAACCACTGCGCGTGCGCAGTAGGGCAGGGCCGACTTCAGTTACTTGGGTCGCGACGACCGACGAACGTTTATTTCCTTTGATTTCCTTCCTCTCAAAACTCTGACTGACTGAACGTTTATTTTTCTACGTGTTCTTCTCGCGCGTGCCGACTTTAAGCAGCAAGAAAAAAAGTACTTAAAACAGACCACGACGAACAAGAACGCTGGATCCACAAACACCCGAGAAGAGCGACAACGGCCACGAATCTACCGAATCCGATGAAGCGAGCTGCTCAGAATATAGGCTTTAGCAGGCACTCCGACTCGGCGCAGCGTTGCTTTGTCGCAAGACCGTCTGCCTACGACCGGCTGGCGTGCTGAATGGAATATGCCCGCGATACCCTTGAGGACCCTTCCCGTATTATAGTTTGATCGCTGACCTCAATGTTAGATTAAGAGGTGAGGTCAATCTCTTCCCCTTGTTTTCCGAGGCAGTGTTGACGAACACTCGTCGAAAAGGGACTCTCGTCGATTCTATCTTCTTGTTTTGTGTGATACAGAGCTGAAATAAACGCCATATGGATTACCTTCGTAACACGGTATGTACACTTTACTATTGGTAGTATGCCATTTTTATTCTGATAGACTGCACGTCACTGTCGAGCTATAACAGTTCGTGGGAGGTATACGTGCAATGCCGGTCCAACCTTTCTTTGCCGAGTGTCGTGTCAGTATCGAGTTGCAATCGTAAAAGATCGGTCCCGAAGCGCTTACCAACAGCGCAGCACTTCCATCAAACGCGCGCGTCCGCTCCGAGTGTGAACAGGTATTTACGTGGCTCTTGCTGACACTCGTAGTTCAAACGTATCTTTTTTAACGTCGGCTCGCTTTTGCATCTCCGAGGCCGCGAAAAAAAAACGCGGCAATTTGTTTCCATCTACGTCGCTTTGCAAACAACTGACACGGGCCGCCTTTTACCAACAATGACAGTTGGGTTGACTTCTGGAGTCTTCACCGGAAGACTCGCTGCACTTCCCAACAGGCATACCGGCGTATGGGACTAGTCCCATGCTGTCGCTGTAGCGCAACGTATCTCATTGAATTTCGCTCGGCTGTGATGTGGCGATGAGAGGCGCCGATTCAGAAAATATGTCGGTGACATCAGCGCAGTAAAACCTACTGGCGCACCCCAACTCGTCGCCGCTAACGCTCCCATTCTCCTACTGCCGAGAGAACTTCCGGTTCCAGAAAAAGCGTACGTCACGGCTTGTTTTGCGGTCAGTTGGAGAGAAAGAAAAAGTCGATATTTCATTAATTTTTTGTGTAGAAGTTAATAAACCGAGACGAAAACGGATGCCTGTTCGGCATTCAGTGAACATTGACGGTTTAATGTAAAAGTTATCGGGAAAAAGTAAAAAGGTAATTTCATGGTCCCTTTAAATGCCTATCCCACGCATTCCACGGGGCGAATGAATGAGCTGACAAGAGTTCACGTGCGTGCGCTCAAGGCTCTCACTCTGCGCCACGGGCCGGCGGGCTCGCTCGTGAGGGGGGCATCACGGTGGCGAGATCATAAACTGGCCACACTCTCCCAATTTATGGCTTTGCCTGGCACAAGTCTTCGAACGGCGTGTCTGACGTCCGATCCTGCCCATACGTCGAAAGCGGTCTTGAAGTGGCGGCGAATGATGTCACGGAAGCCAGCGCGTCGTGTTGTCAGACGCCGAGATTCCGGCAGTCAGTGCCGGAAGTCCCGGCAAAAAAGGAGAAGGGACGCTGGTGTCACTGTCATTGCGGAGTCCCAGTTGCCAAATCTGCGGCAGACTGCCGAGCTGGACAGCGACTTGGAGCATAACGGGTGTTCGCCACAACCTCCCAAGCTGCTGCGATGCCTCCGCAATCACAGCCGGCGACAACGCGACCCTTCTGCGGCGTCACCGGGCGGAAATCCAAGGGACTGCTCATTAGGACGTGGTAAACAGAGATGCGTTCCGGGTGCCTGATTTCGGATTTTGTGCCGCCAGCACCAGTACGAGCAAAAGAACCACAATCAACGTACGCGCACCAACCAATTCACCGAGATCGTCTGGCTCCCACTTTGCGAAAGCACGAAATTTCTATCCTACGTTTGAAGCACCATTTATTTGACATTTCTGTGTGTTTCATCAACACCAATAGAAAACTCGCAGAAGCTGCAAAAGAAAAAAAGGCAAAAAAAACGAAAAGAATGCTGACGAACTTGAAAAACAAAAAAAGATTGAGGTACACCTAAGCATTCCTTATGAGTTGTGAATGCAAAAGCATGCAAGCCGCTCGTCCACTCCTTTTTTTCGTCTGCTGCGTACTTTTCGTCGCCGGTCACCGTGTGTGCTCCCCTGGTGACCTTGGACACTCCATGTTAACGCCGCCGCGCTGATGGAGACGCAGCGCCTTGGGGTGAGCGGTCGTGGAAACTGAAGAGCGCAGCGGCCAATGGGAGCCCCGTCGACACGCGCCGGCCAATAGAATCGAAGGAAACTAGGTGCCGTTTATGCACTTCAAACTGATGACGTCAGCTCACTTCATGAGACAGTTAATGCTTTCGCATTAATAAATAAAAAATTCCGAAAACACAGAACCCTAGTTACAACCGCTCGCGAATTCTTGCGAGATGGTTGCCGTGGGAACTGAGAACCGTGCAACGCGTCGCGGTAGAATGCAATGTGAGGGTTCGTAAGACAGCGGTCCCTATTTGCGAGAAAAATTCCGCGTATCGCGATTTGGTTTTGTCTCTGTCAAGCGACTGACATAGAAGTAGGCCGGACGAGCAATGTTAGTCAGAATTGTAAAGCTATCCTGGCAACAACGATGAGGCAGAACAAGTTTGCTGACAGCAGCGGTGTAGATGGGGTGCAGAATTGTGTAAAAATAGAGACAACCATAAGAAAATGGGATAAGGCAGAAAGTAAGTTTCCAGCATGTACAGCGACAGGCCCAGATGACATACTGATAGAACTCATTAAAGGACACATGCAAAGGAAAAAAAAACCTTTTTTTTAAACAGTCTAGATGGAAAAAGAATATTATAAAACAAATTTACAACGAAGAAAAAAAAAATTTAGGGCTATATTTACGGAGCGAAACGAATTTGTAGCTGGCGCCTGTGGGAGCCGCTGCTAGTCACGTGGTAGGCCTGTGCGCCGCCGCGTTGCGTCGCCGCCGCCGCACGTTGAGCGTTGTACGACGACGCTTCAACGCGTTTCTCAATGCCGCCGTCGCCGCGGCCGCACAAGTTCGTCTGCTTCGGGGCGCCCTGACCAGCACACAGGTCTATCACGTCTGCTTGCGCTTTTTCAGGAGTTTCCTTTGGGCTCTAAAAGTTACTTATTCATCTTAGTTTTTTGTAATACTTCAAACAAAGATGAATAAGTTAGTTTTAGAGGCCATAAAAAGCTTCCAAAAGAGCGCAAGCACCACGTGACAAATATGTACCAGTCACGTGATAAATAAGGGCCATTTACTCTGCGGCACCCGCAGCATGAACTACAAATTCGTATCGCGCCGTAAATATAGCTCTAAAAATTTTCTTTTTCCTTGTAAATTTGTTTTATGACTTCCTTTTCCCAACCAGGAAGTTTAAAAAAAATGTTTCTTTCCTTTGCATGTGTCCTTTAAGACACTAGGGTTAGAAAAGGGAAAAGAAATTAATCTATTATGAAGCTCAAGGCACTATGAAACTGAAAAATATGAAGTGGTCAGAGGTATATGGAAAGGAGTGATGGTACCAGGACTGTCTTTTGGGATTGCGGTACTGTGCATGAAATCAGAGGTTCAATCAGGATTAGAAATTTGATAAAGAAACGTTGCGAGATTGGTTGGGAGCACATGAAAAGACACCAAATGAGAGGGTACAGGAGGATATAGGCTGGTCGTCTTTTGAGAGCAGACAGGCAATTAGCCAGTTGAAGTTTGAACAAAGGTTGACCGAAATGGATGATACGCAGTGGGCACGGAAGGTATTCGAGTGTTTATACATGAAAAGTTTCAGAAAAAAATGAACAAACCGAATTTTAAAGCTTACATTTAAATACCTTCACACTAGTGAGACTACTTCAGTAAAAATTGAGTGAAAGAGAAAGAAAGAAAAGTGTGGGAGGTAAGAATGCAGGAAAAATCAGTTCTAACAATATACGTTTAACAAAAACAGGATATAAGAAGGGAGAATATGTTTGAAAATTCACTGGGAAGTTCCTTTGGTGTTCGAAGCAAGAACGGGAGTTTTGAGGACGAGCACGTATAGGGCTAAATTTCAGGAAACACGCACATGTGCCGCCTGCCATAATGAGACCAAGGTACTTTTGCATTTATTTGCATTATAATCATAATCTTAAATTGCAAGCTTCACCCTTGTTGGTGTTAGACTGGTGGCGGCTGATAAAACCCGTTTGCTCTACTGATGTCTAACCCCTGGTTAGCTCAATTGGTAGAGCGCTCCACCTGTAATGGAGAGGTCCCGGGTTCGACACCCGGACCAGGCGGATTTTTTCGGTCGCGCACTAGTCACCTAGCTGTGTTTGGAGATTTGTGTTTGTCCTTTGTCCCTCTTGTTCCCCTTCTCCAGGGTTTATTTTCATCATTACTGTCCAGCTCGCTTGCACCTTTGCATTTATTTGTACTAGAGCACTTCGTTTTGAAGTGCGCGAGGCTTCGCCCTGCCCTCCCTGAAGGGGTGACGGATTGGGCCGGGGCCCTGGGTTTCGCTGGCGACGATGGAAGGACGGAAGAGAAAAGGATTACAGTCACAAAGAAGCGATTAGAAGATTGGTGGAAATTGTCTTTGGAAACTAACTAGCACCGCTGGGGACAGGCGGGAAAGAGGAAAATTGGGACACCCTCCTGCGTCGCTCCGACCCAAAGTCTCAACCCTGTCCCCCAGTGGGTCCGGCGCTGGGGTAATGCCAACAAGGCTTTACCAGAGGAAAATTGGCGACTCCCTCGCCGGGGGGAAGAGGCGGGGGTGATGTTTTTTTTAATTAAGTCTTTTTGCCTGATCCTGCAAAGGTCATCCTGGTGACATCTCAGACTGCCTGGTGATAGTTGTGGGAGAAAATGGGGTTAGAAGGGTGGGCTTAGGCTAGGTAGTGCAAGCTACCACCTGTTACAAAGGGTATAGCCAATAACATCCATCCATCCATCCTTCGAAGGCCCGGTGGAAGCACCCAAAACCGTGTTTGAGCTGGAGAAAGTTAGTGGTGGCACCGTTTTCCTCACTAAACTTTCTCTTAAACTGTACCGTAATATTCCGGTGGATGCCCCACCCCCTAACGACAACCCACACCTCACTGTGGCATGCTTTGCAATTTTTTTTAAAAAAGACAGAAAGACAGCTTATTTACAGTAAATGCAGTGCCCAGGCCAATAGCGACATTGGCAGAAATGGGGTTAATTAGCTACGGCGGGAGATAGGTGAACATTACTGACTGGAAAGGACAGTCATCTTTGCTTCATTGCCCCTTACTGAGATAACAAGCTTAGCAGGTCACATGATCTAGAAATAGCACTTTTTCAAACTCTTGCTGACTGCACGCCGAAAGTTAGCCTACTCCTTATTTTCACCCGATTGGCTCTCAATTTTAGGTAGGCTGTGTCTTGGGAAATTGCCGTATAATGCGAGTACAATCACCAAAAATTGAGGTAATTCTGAGACAACAAAGTCCCATGTTTAGGACTATAAAGACGTGGGAAGTTCATTTACTTTTCAACGGCTAATAAGGTATGTGCATTGACAATCCAAACAAGAGGTGTGTAATGACTATTTTAGCGGGCACGGTATGTCAGGATCCTCGTACGAGATCAAGGTATATGCAGCTTTTTCTTTTTTATAGTTAAATCCTGCAGCTATCTACACAATGTAGTTCCAATTGACCCAGGAAACTACACGATGACTACAAGCAAGCAATGTCCACCCACGTCCTCAAGCCAGCATACCTCATGGTAGTTGTCCAGGCACTCGCGCGAACACAAAGGCTTGCCTCCGCCCAGGGGTGGGTAGAACCCGATGCCTTCCTGGAGCTCCTGCTGGCAGACGGTGCAGTGGTCCTTCTCCGGCGGCTTTTTGGGGGCCAGCTTTTGCTTGTTCCTGAAGGTCTTGAAGCACACATCCGAACACAGGAACTGTGTCTTGCCCTGGTACAGCACTTGGTAGCGGAGTCCTTTCACCTGGAGACAGACCGGCACATTTGGATGTTCCCAAATGAAGTTGCAAGTACATTCACATTGCATAAGATTGGGGCATAGGAAAAAAAAGTAAGATGTTTACAATTCTCTGTAATGCCGAATTAGAGCACAGCTCTAGAGGAGTAGGGGAGGGTACAGGGGGGAGGTATGCCCCTCCTCCTCTCCTGCTCCCCTCCCATTTAGTGAGAAATTTTCACAAAATTTCCTGCTAAAATAAGCGAAAATTTCCCCGCTAAACGTAGCGGGAAATTTAGCGAAACTTTTACCACTAAATTTAGCGGGGAAAGTGAATTGTTGTTTAGGTCACATGACGTCTATTTCCTTGCTAAATTTAGCGGAGAAATTTTTCCACTAAATTTGGCAGAAAAGATTTTTCATAAATTTGATGTGACGTCACACGTACGTAACGAGGGTAAAATTTTCCCGCCAAGTTCGGTGAGAATTTTTTCCGTTAAAATTAGCGGAAACATCTTTTCCGCTAAATTTAGCGGAAAAATTTTCCCAGGTTAAGTGGCGCCACTTGTGACGTCGTTATGGGCAATGTCCCATATTGCAACGCGTGGTTACATTGACGGTGGCATTCCTCAAACCGGAAATGGGCACCTAAGAGCTGCGCTCTAAAAGATTCAGCAGACACTTAAGACTGCTTACGTGTAGGAATGCAAAAGCATTCTTACACGCAGTGCATTCCTACAAGCAGCGCGCCAAGTCTTCCTTTTTCACATGGCGCTCCGGCGGTGACATCACGCACTTCCCTGCAGAGGCGTGGCAAACCTTGCCGGGTCCACAGCTTCTATGACGATGCATCTGGTTGCTGTGCTTTTCTTTATGTTTTACTTCTGAGGCGCGTCCACTTTGATTTTGAGCGCCCCGCCGGCTCCCGTGACGAAGCGTCTGTGTTGCTGTGCTTTTGGCCAATGGGAATTCAGGTGCCGTTTCGCTGCTACAGACTGTTACAGAATGCTCGCTTTGCTCCATGGGACAGTTAATGCTTTTGCATTAATTTACACTCAATTCCACAGATTCTCATGGTCAAAAGAGGTCACTTGCTTACGTAAAAAAGGACATAAAACATAAAAACAATGCACTGGCTAGTTGAACTAAAAAAGCCTGAATAAATGGGGGAAAAAAAATTCATATGGTACTACTTTTTATATAAGAAACACAATCAAAGGTTGGTATACCTTGTGCTTTGGCTCAGGGTGGTCCCCAGTTTCTACAGCTCCTCCAAAGCAATTTGTCCTTTACTATTCACAGTGAGACAGTGACTACTGAGCTACTTGAAAATTATGTAAGGCAATGTTGGCTAAAGGGTAAGGTTTAGCTTTGCAAGAATTCAATTGTGTCAAAATATCTGTGGTTTTTACACCACATTGAAACAAAAGTATGTTAGAAGTGTTTGTAAGATTTATAGTTCTAACTAGCAAACTCTCAAAATGTAAAAAGACACCATTTGCGGTGCTGACACTTATTAAAGGGAGGCTATTGTGAATAAGAAAAAAAGGCACTCACGGCAGAGCAGACTGCACAGGTATGGCCTGCTTTCTTCGATGAAGATGATTCCCCCTTGGCTGGGCTCTCTGGTGGAGCATCTTCAGCTTCTGCAAAAGCAAAAGTAATGTTATTTGTTCCTCTCACAAAAATGTGAGAAATACATAGGACTCCCATTAAACAAAACTGGGCTAGACGAAAATTGAGGATAAATGAAACTATGGTGGCTACTTTGGTTGGCTTCCTCTTTATGTAATCCTCAAAAATTTTGGACAATCCTAACATTGTTTTTCGCTTACTTTGCTTAAACGGGGCCGAACCCGAAACAACCCTGTGGACATCTAGAATGGCCACGGCAGTCTCACGACCATGAGGACTCTCAGCTAAGGAGCTGTAGCCAAGGGAATCCTGTTTCGCGTGCCATTAGGGTTAATTTCATAAACTCCTAGTTGCATGCCACGGCAGTCACGTTTCGCTTGGCAGTCGCCAGAAATCCCGTTGTGGCTGCAAGTTTCTACTTATTAGCTTTTGTGCTGACATAGAAGAGAAAAAACAACCACGCCAAGCATTTTCGCTTGCAACATAAGTGAAGATAATCAGAGTTGAATCGCGGCGATCTCTCGAAGACTGAAATCGCCAAGACGTTTGGCATCCCAAAGTCCATGCTCTCAAAGATATCAATGAAAAAGAAAAAGACTCAAGATGCTGTCAAGGTTGGAAGCTTGCTTCGCCAACCACAAAAAAATCTTGAACCACAAAAAAAGAATGGTCTTCATCTGTGGCTCAAGCGTGTGCGCAGTGTGAATTTCCCAATCAATGGGTCCTTTTTAGAAGGAAAGGCCGTGAGTGAGGGATGCGCGGAATTTCTGCCCAGCCACCGAGGCATGCACACCTACTTTGTAATAAAACGTTTGCAAAATGCCCAACTACCATTAACACCTTTTTTCTAGTTAGCCATAGTAGCTGCATTTATGGTGTTGTTGAAATAAAGTTATATTTCACCAATTTTATGCAGTTCGTTTAAATGAAACTTCTGATAAATGGAACAAATTCTCCTGTCCTTTCAAATTCCTTTTAAGACTGTAGCTGTAGCTGTCACTGACCCTAGTGAGCCTGTCAGTACCATGGTTGGCTTATCTACAACTGCACACTTCATACTTCTCAAATTGCTTGGAGTAAAGGTGTATACATTAAAAGGATCTCTCAATGCACAGCACGTCCGACAGCACTAGTAGCTGGTGCTCGTAGCTTTTCTAGGCTTAATCAGTCGAATAGACATACCAGTGTTCTGACAAGACTAAATGAAAGGATCTACAATGCCGAACAAAATTGATAGATTCTGATAACGGACCAAATGCAGGTATCCCCCATCTTGGAAATAACTGTCACCACCTGGTGAAAACCTGGGTTCGGGAATTCCCAAGATGAAATAAAGAACACCTTCGAAAGGAGAAGAAAGGAGAAGGAAGAAGCACCTTTGGGCAAACTTGGGGGCAAAAGATAAGCCACAACAGGCACAAATGGGACTTTGGAGGAGCCCAATTTAGGTCACTGCAGCTCAATGGAGCCAGTAGGATCTAGCTTCCTTGATTGAAAGAGTGCCCATGGTTGCTTGAGAATGTGCTTCCACATTTTCATACTGGAACCTTCTGAACCGGCAATTTCCGAAAAATGGTCCCTTGTATGTAAAAAAAAAACAGCTTGGGTGCAACCTTGAAGGTTTGCCCATTGCATGAGGATGTGAAGCATTTTCGTTACGTATGCAATACCGCAGTCTCTAAACCGTTTGATGCCGTGATGGCCATAGCACTACAAAAAGTGCTTGCTACACCCCCCCCCCCCCCCCCCCCTTTCCCCGAAGAAGTGGCTGCTCCAGTCGCAAAATGCGGTCTTCCAATTTTGCTCCTTCTTGAATGACTATCCCTAGGCCTCTGCACAGCCTTTTTGTTCATACATATATTTGGCTTACACAATGCTTCTGGCAACTCATAACAACTCTAAACTAGATATCAGTGTTTTCCATACAATGTTTTGAATGCAAAAGATAAGGTATGTGGCCCTAGGAAGTTTGTTTGCACAAGCACTGTTGAAGCCTAAAGGGTAATAATAAAAAAAAGCAGGCTGCATGTGGGTACAATAGGCCTTTTGTGAAATCCCCCAAGCGCCCCGGCCTGCGCGCGAGGAATTGTGGGAGAGACTGTCCCTCGCCTGGCCGCTCTGCTTTGAGATCGCATTGCCTTGTCGCTTGCCTCCTCTTAATCCTGTTTTTCAATTTCATTACCTATTTTTATCTATTCCAGTGTATTTTATATTGCTTCTAAGTGTTTTTATTCTCTTCTGCGCAATATTTTTTGTATATATATATATATAGTATTTGTGTCTTTATTTAGCCTTTTTCGATGGGAGTGCCGACGGACAACACGCCGCTTCGCGCGTCGTTCCCCGGGTGAATACTACCATTGCTACCGATTCCTATTGCGCTGTTAGCTGTTCATTTTTGGTCATTTGACCCGCGTGCAATCGAGAGGATTCGTTTACGAACACCCGCACACATGTCATAGGGGTAGGCAGAGCTCTAAATCAACAATTGCGACGCGAGAGCCGAGTGCGCTGTGATTTGGCCATTCGCGCTCGCTCCGTTGACTCGCACTGTATGCCTTCGAGTGCCGCTTACTTGACCAAGATACAGCACGCCGCTTTGTCGCCGCAAACCATTTGTCCGAACGTTTGCGAAGCTGAGGCATATGCAACGCTGCGGCGCCTGACAACTGCGCGCTGCGGCACGATCCCTTCGCAAACACCGACGGCTCAATGCCGCGGCTTGAATGCGCCTATGGCATGCCTTTGTAATCTATCTGCTAAGCGGTTGTCAGCTGCCGACGCCCTTTTTCAAGTGCAGAGATGTGTTGCCGCAAATCATTTGTCCGAATGCCTGCGAAGCCGTAACACTGTTCGTCATATCCGACGTGCGGTGCCTGACAAACTGCGCGCAGCGGCGCGAGCCCTTCGCAAGTGCCGGTGGCCCAAAGTCACGGCTTGTATGCGCTTATGGTATGCCTTCTTAATCTATCTGCTAAGCGGTTGTCAGTTGCAAACATCCTTTTTCAAGTGCAAAGATGTGCTGTCACCCAGGCAGTCCCCTTGAAACTCGTAGTTCCTTATAATTTTATTTCTCAAGTCAAGATGTCAGCTGATGCTCGAGTCAAGATGTCAGCAACTGACAACCGCCTAGGAGACTGATCATGAATGCATCCCAAAGGCGCATACAAGCCGTGACGTTGAACCGCCGGCGCTTGCTAAGGGCTCGCGCTGCGTGCAGTTGTCAGGCGCCGCAGCGTTGGATATGCCGAACGGTGTTACGGTTTCGCAGGCATTCGGACAAATGATTCGCGACGGCAAAGATGCGGGCTGTATCTTGGTCGAGTTAAGCGGCACTCGAAAGAATATGCTACAGTGCGAGTCAACGGAGCGAGCGCGGGCGGCCAAATCACAGCGCACTCGACTCTTGCGTCGCGATTGTTGATTCAGAGCTCTGCCTACCCCTATGACATGTGCGCAGGTGTTCATAAACCGCTCCTCTCGACTGCATGCGGGTCAAATAAACCAAAATGAACAGCTAACAGCGTGATAGGAATCGGTAGCAAAGGTAGTACTCACCCGGGGAACGACGCGCAAAGCGGCGTGTTGTCCATCGGCACTCCCGTCAAAAAAGGTGAAATAAAGACACAGATACTATATATATACAAGAAATATTGCGTGCAGAAGAGAATAGGAACACTTAGAAGCAATAAAAATACACGGGAATAGATAAAATAGGTAATGGAATCAAAAAACAGAGGATTAAGAGGAGGCAAGTGAAAAGGCAATGTGATCTCAAGGCAGAGCGGCCAGGCGAGGGACAGTTTTTCCCACAGTTCCTCGCGTGTGGTCCGGGGCGCTTGGGAAAATCGCAAATCGTCTATTGGCAAAGCTTGCAAAGGCAGTTCAGATGTAGATACAAAATATCAACCAATAGGCTGGTAGTGAACAGCATTGCTGCCTTTCCAAGGGAAACTACTACTAAACTCAAGAGTATTTATCTCAGTAAATGAAAGGGAGTTAAAATACCTTTTGCATCTTGTGATAACCTGTCGTCTGATGCATCCGGGGTGCTCTCATTAGGATTAGATTCCTGAAAAAGAATATTCATCCACACATCAGACTTCGTAATGCCAAAAGAGAAGCTCAACATCTATTCTTCAGTGATCTGATTAAGAAAGAAAGGTTATAAGGGCAAGCTCATAACTATGGAAAGTCCTTTTGCTATATGAAAGGTAGCATGGTAGAGTAACACTCGGGTACGAGGTTTGAAACATTGCGGCATAGCTGTGCTATATTCAGTTTACTAATAACATGATAAACGACATAAGCTACGGACCCCGCGATCGAATAAGAGGATCTGAATGAGGAATCTAACAGCAGTGCATATATCATTGCACCAGGGGTACAAGTTGGAGAAGCCAGCAGTGATGAGCTGGATAACTAAATTAATTAACTTCAGCAAAACATCTCTTGATGTTTAACTACATCCTGTTCATGCAGATACACGAGTTTTGTTTAAATGTCTGGGATGCAATCAACTGGTTAACAAATGTGCACCAGGGACTCATGTCGGGATGTTGGCCTGAACTGTAGGCTTGGATTGCGCCACTTTGACTACATTTTAACCTCGGAAAATGCTGTAGTGTTCCCCAATGGCACCCAAAACAATTTAGGACAGTAACATCAACTTCCATGACTCTTATAACAATCATTTCTCATGAACAAGCATGAGGCAGATAGATAAGGATGAAAGAGTGCATGTCTATAATAGTGCAGTAGCAATAGCTCAGAGCTACTTTACAAACAGATGTGATATCAGGGTTCAAAGATTTCTCTTTTTTAAACTCACAATTGAACATACATCTATATGCAATTTCTGATCAAAGCAAAAGGAAAGTTGGTCACGTACATTCAAGTGCTTCTTGAATACACCATAAATAATGTTGGGTTCAAATTTTACTAACTGCATATCAGAAGGTTGAAACCACGAGAACTAGCATCAGAGGGAAAGAAGCCAAATATGTGATTTTTGCCGTGACATTGCAAGAACAAGGCCGCTCTGTGTGTGTGTCTGTGTGTGTATAGGTATACATTATATATATATATATATATATATCGGTGATTTCATCTCAAATCGTGCAGGCAAAAAGGGTCGAATTTCTAATTTCGCTGAAAAAAATATATGTTATGGCGTTAGTCTCTAAAAACGCAGTCGCCACAAACCGCAAGTTCGTTGAATTTTTTGTTCTCGACTTACGAATTTTAAAAGAGGTCGGGGCGGAAAGCAGTGTTTTTCACATCCGTCGTGGGTCAGATGTTTTGCAAGACCTCCCGCCGTGGATTTTCAGTTCACATTTTATTAACTTTTTTCAAGCACTCTGTGAGCACAGTTAAAAGGCTCTAATGCCATGAAATAATTTTAGGCGCTTTGCTTTTTTTATGTAACAACGTCAAAAATGCCCCCTCGGTTAATTGTTGACAAACTTTGACAATTAAATACTGGCGATCTATTTGGGTTACATCGATAGTTTTTATGTCTATGGAGAGCCCGAAACACGCTTTTTATACATATTATAAGATCACTTCGCTGTATAAATTGTCCTTTGCGGTATGCCTACGTTAATGTTATGCTAAAACCAAAAAGTAGCAATATTGAGATCAATTTTCTAAAAAAAAAAAAAGCATTTATATTTTTTTATTATTTTTGACAACGTATACATGATAGTTCTCTACTCGAAAAACAAGTCGAGGAAGTGTGCATTTTGTTTGTATGTTTTATGTTTAAGCTTCAATATCGTAAAAAAAAAAGTGTTTTTACGGCTCGAAACGGACTTGTGAGTTGCGCGTCTTCACAAACCTGGAAATATTCTTGCCTTTTTTCGACGTTCTCACATAAAAATGAAGTATTTACACCCTGTTATATTTATTGCTCATTTAAATTTTATTACAGGCGGCAAGCTACATTGGCAAAATAGAAACCTATTAGCAGGCGTCGTAAATTTTTAATGTGTAGAAATCGTCAGCCGTCGTATTGATTCGGGGCCCTCGCTGGCCTATATGAACGTCCCGCCCCTTCGGAACCAGCAGATGACCACGACCTTTCGCAAACGTTGTGTTAGATAGGACGGCCCGTGACAGTAAAGCGAGCAGCGAACCCTGTGTCACGAGGAGTGAAGTGGTACGAATATGGCGTTGACGCTGCGAACAGTGACGGCCACCCAGGAGGAGTCAATCAGTCAAAGTACTGCAGAAGGGAAAGCAAAGGAAATGTTGCCCGGGAGGATGAGGACACCACGGCCTTACAATATCGGTGGTCAACAACAGTTCTGCCGGCCAAAACAACGCCGCGTGTGTGCTAAAACCGGTGGCGCGGGACAACAATCCCGCAGACGCACACACGAAGATGGGCCGGTTCCAATAGGGATGTTGGCAAATCTTGAAACCAGCCATCCATGCACGCGTGAAACAAGCTTCGAGCGCCCTACCCTTGAAACTGCCGTGCTCTTTCTGTCTCCGAAGGGATCCGATAGCACTGAAGGGTTATCTCTTTTGGAAACAGCGAAGCCTGGAGACTAGTTGGGTCGAAGTCAGCCTCCTTGTTAACTATAATCAATTGTGAAGAGTGGTCTTCTCCTGAGATGACAAGTTAGCGCCGGCTGGCGTGTTCTTCTGAAAAAGGCGAGGGGAAAGAGGAAGTTTGAGTAACTACAGTAACGACCTCGAAAGCTCCTCTCCCGATATGAAGCTCGAGGCACGTTACGTCTCGGTTGCCTTCTCGCGCATAAAACTGCGCTGCTCGAATATATAGATCTGGATGAGTTTCGTAACGGCACGTGTTCGTGTAATCACTACTGCGTGATACATGTTAAAAACTCCAGGTTAGCGGTTGTACTGCACTGGCTAAATTTCTCATCTACAGCTAAGAGACCAATCACCCGTTGAGGCGTATCTCCATCAAGGCTGTATAAACATACAAAGCAAGCCAATTATTTTATATTCTTCACTCTGTTTTGCACAGCCGTCGTGGCTATACGGAACAGAGTGAAGAATAGATTCGAGCATCATCTGGACGCCGTCATCCTGCCAGGCTTCAGTGTCATGGGACTGGACTTGGCGTCGGTCAGTTAAGACTTTTTTTTATTTCGTGTGTTCGCTTCGCTGAACTTTGTTTCTCAAGTGCGCTTCCGCTGAACATTTTTTTTTTTTTTAATGTTTTCTTACGAATTGTTTGTTAGCATTGTTTAATTGTTGGTTTTATTTCGTCATAATGTAGCGGCCTGCAAGCTGTTGAAAGCGTGTTCGCACGCATTTGGTTGCGTCCCTTTTAGGGAATGCCCGGAGGAGTTTGTTTTTGTTCTCGCCGTGTGCGGCTGAGTTTTTCCGTCTTGATTACATTTTTTGCTTTACCTTTACGTGTCGTCGACTTCTTTGTCTGGCTCTCCACCATGCGTGGACCTATCACCTTGCCACCGGTCAAACCTATATCTTTTATTCTTTTAAGACAATTTTTGTTAAGATGGGAGTTGGGTAATTTTATTCCTATTCATTTATTTTTATTCCCTACCCCTCTCCGTGACAATTTCTTTGTGAATTTTGGACCGTTTGTGTGTCTTTACCTTTGTGGGTTACGGAAGTGAAAGGCTATTCCCTGGTGATCAGTGCCGATGTGCGGTGAGGTGAACAAACCCTAGCGTTTGGTTTCGGAAAGAACTGTATATAATAAATCAATGATGTGGTGACTTTCTATGTCTTAGTAATATGACAGCTAATAACAAGTCATGCTAGTTTACAGTGAAAGTTTTATAAGTCGAAACAATACAGCGTCTGTGCCTCTTCGATACTGAAAGTCTACTAGGCCTGCTGATTTGATTAGATACATTGCTTGTGGTTTCCCGCTGTTATCAAAACACAAATAACTATTCAATACCACAAATTGCATTTATAATTGATTACAAAACGCAGACAATTATGCAGAAAATCTTTTTCACAATTCATAGAAACGTACGGGTCGCTATGTCTGGCTTAGGTCTTGAAAACGAAGACATCTTTTTTCTGATATTGAGGCCTAAATATAAAACATACAAGCAAAATACACACTTTCTTGACCTGTTTTTTCGAGTAGACAACTATCATATCTACATCGTAACAAAAAATAAAAAAAAAATAAAAATGTTTTTTTTTTTTTTTTTTTTTTAAATTGACCTCAAAGTTTAATACTTTTTGGTTTTAGCATAACATTAACGTAGACATACTGCAAAGGATAATTTATACAGCTCAGTGATTTTATAATATGTATAAACAGCGTGTTTCGGGCTCTCCATAGACATAAAAACTATCGATGTAACCCAAGTAGATCGCCAGTATTTAATTGTCAAAGTTCGACAATTAACCGAGGGGGCGTTATGGACATTTTTATAGACAAAAAGCAAAGCGCCTAAAATTATTTCATGGCATTCGAGTCATTTAACTGTGCTCACAGAGTGCTTGAAAAAAATTAATAAAATGGGAACTGAAAATCCACAACGGGAGATTGAACGAAACATCCGACCCACGAAGGATATGAAAAGCACTGCTTTCCACCCCGGCCTCTCTTAAAATTCTCAAGTCGAGAACAAAAAATCCAACGAACTTGCGGTTTGTGGCGACTGCGTTTTTAGAGACTACACCATAACATATATTTTTTTCAGCAAAATTAAAAATTCAATTCTTTTTGCCTGCACGATTTGAGATGAAATCACGCATATATTATATATATATATATATACTTTTTTTTTAACTTGCCAGTTTTCTTGTGATGCACTCAAGCGGTGCCGGACATGTCATGACCAAGTCTGGCTTATGAATTGGTCACTAACATGCTCTTCACTCGTCAGCTTGCTCTTCACTCGTCAGCTTGCTTGTCACTCGTCAGCTTGCACTCAGTAAATATCAAACCATCATTGAATATCTGGCTCGTCAGTCGTCAGCATGCGCTTGGTAAATATCAAACCATCATTGAATATCCGAATTCGAGTGTGTGGTCAATTAGTGCAATAAAACACGACAGCCTGTTGCGAACACGAGTTGAGGAAAAGGACATAAGAAATGTTTGTATAATTATTTTAGGTAGGTAAATGAAGTTTGAACAGTTTATAGTGCTTGACTCATTCCTATATGTCTGGTGTTAGCTATGATATGGCTTGTTATTTATGCCCTGGATGCAATGCTCATGCAAAAAAAAAGCCAAGAAAAAATAAATGTTCTTATGCACACCTTGGGCATGGCAAACAAACCTAAAAGAGCCTATACACCATTCCAAGAAACACTCGACCCCAGGGGCAACAAGCCTTTTTCGAAGTCTCTGGGTTTGAGGCTAGACTCTTAATGGCGTCCCGGCTAACCCTAACCGAGTGGACTGATTGCGATAGGCGCAGCCTGCGTAGATGCAGTTTTAAACACTACTGGCGGCTAAATTGCTGCCTTTTCCTGCTGCATTTTGTGTTTTATGGTGTATGTATTTTCCCGAGGACACTGAAAAAGCATTGTACCACATTTGATAAAAAAAAACAAAAAACCTGTAAACTATTCTTTTTTTTTTGGGGGGGGGGGGGGGTATGTGCACGACAGAACAAATGCAAATGAAATGGGGTTTTTTTGTTTTGTTTTTTTACGATAAGTTTCAATGGCGCCGTTTGATTAGCCGTGCGTCAAACGACAAAGCGCTTTGCTGTCGGAAATAATTTTTTATTTTTTTGGTTTCATGGGAAATTGCAGATACTCAAGAATGCGACAGAGAAGATGGCTAGGCTGACCTCTCAAAATAAATGCGATGGCGGGTAGCACCAGTTTGAAAAAGAGAGCGCGCGAAAATGCCTCAAATGTACACCTTTCTGGGTTGCCGGGAGTTTTACAAATGCCTATTTGACTAGTTTTGCGATCATACAAGGTATTGATTTTTTTAAATGGGAAATATGAAGGCTCAAAGATAATAAAACACCCTAAAACCAAAACAACACAGTTTTTCTGAGATTGTCTGCCCTTGGTGATAACTTATCTTGCGGGTTCCAAGCATCCTAGATATTTATAATTATGCTTATGCGATGTCTACTTCCCTACTAAAAATGTGATAGAAGTGTGCCACGCCCCTTTCTGAGCGGACAAATTTAGAGCACAAAATCCAGCGGATGTGCCGGTGGCGTGATGACGGGGACGAGTCAGACAGTCGCAAGCCGCCTTTCCATACAAATGCAAATTTTTCTCAACTTCTTTGTCAAGAACACCAGTGCCTCTCCTCCCCACGTTTAAACAGTGGGGAAGAAATGTTGCCGGTTAAAGTATGCCACATTCAGTAATATAAAGAGTTCTCTGTATCGACGTCTATGCAATCAAAATGTATTGGCAGATAACATTCCAGAAAGGGAACAAAACTGTATTCTGGAAAAGTAAAATTTTCATAGTATGTTTATTTAAAAGAAATTATGTCTGTAAATGCAACTATGCACACTCCCACGAAAAAGGGACATGAGGCTTCATCGAGACAGAACGACGGGACGGCAGAAATGAACCTAGAAATCAGTACTGTCCCGGCAAAAATGGGACGTCTGGGCATCTCAGTCATATCAGTTGCAGTAACATTTTCTTTTTGCTTACCAATATAAATTCTTTCATCTGAATGTAGCCACGAATATCTTGTCTAAAGTGATTTCAAGCTCCCTGAACAGTTTATTATAATTAGAAATCTGATAAGAGAGGCTGCATTGCTTTTCCTCAGCAGCTGAATGCTATGCCTGCCTGCCCCTGCCTGCCCCTCCCTCCCTCCTCTCCCCCCCTTCCTTGTTATTGGACCACCCACCTGCTATTACTCGGCGAATAGCAACGTAACCTTGCTGCTGACAAAGCCAACCCAAATGGCTCGAGACACTTTGAAAAGAAGCTATTACACCCTTTCGCTTGGGCTTTGGTCCTTTGCCTGATTACTGCCAACCACAATTATAATTCTATTTTTTCCTGAAAACACCTACTTTAATACTCAGAGGTTTGTACTTGTGCACACTCTGCGTCTCATGAAGGAGTAAAGACAAAGTCTCAATTGCGGTCGAATGAATATAAGGTGCCGTTCACACACTTGCAACCACGAGGACGGAGAGAGAGAAGAATGGTTTTTAAGGCTTTCTCGACATCTTAGGGGCGGATGCGCTGCTGCGGAGTTGGTCCTAAGATGTCGCAAGAGGCTTAAAAACCGGTCTTGTCTCTCTCGTCCTACTTGGTTGCAAGTGTGTGAACGGCGCTTAAGTGGACTTCAATGGACTACAGACAACAAATCAACGCCCCAAGAACTGTACATACAGGCAAGAAATAAAGCAGCCACTGTCTTGTTTCTTGTACCCTTGATTTTTTTTTTTTGGGGGGGGGGGGGGGGAGCTCATTTTTTTTATTAATAAAAGAAAAGGCAGCCTACACTGACAAAGCGCTCCAGTAATATGACAATGCATCACCACAAAAACTCATAGCATTAACAAGTGACTAAATGCTTCCAATTAAAACCATTTAATGGCACTGCCATGAAATGGATCTAATTAAAAGTGTTTTATGGCAAGCATGTTACCGTAAAGTGCCAAGGGAACACCCACACCAACCTTCCCTGAAAACTAGATTAATCTAGACATTAACCTCAAGAACTCTTTGTTATCACCTCCTGACAGAACATCTTCCCGTCTTAACAACTCCTGCACAATCAAATGTGTTTCCGGTTCCACAAACGCATTCAATCAGTCTTTCCTTCCTCAAGCCATCTCCGAGTGGAACAGCCTACCATCCTCCATCGTCACCATCGTGGACCCAGAAGTATTTCTGTCAAGCTTACGGATTCATTTTTCTTGTTATTAGTATTTTTTGCCAGTCTGTACGATTAATGAGCTTGACCTGGATGTGTTAATTAGCTTGTGTTTCTTCCTTTTCTTGTTTGTATAACATGTATATACCCCCCCTTATGTAATGCCCTAACCGGGCCCTTAAGGTGAAAATAAATGAAATGAAATGAAAAATGGGCGCTTGTCCGATCAAATTGCGCGCTTGACATATAACTGGCAGAATTCCCAAGTTTGGAAATGTTATAGTGAGCACTTGAACAAAGCATACACTTCAGCAGTATTTTAAGGTAGTAGCCTGGCCACTAAATGCTTCCAATAACATGATACTCTGCAATGGACAGATTACTTCTAATGCAAAGCTCAAAGTTGTCTGATGACAAAGACCCAATCAGCATTCCCAAAAAAAGAAAACTAAAAGGCCAGCAATTCCTGATCATACCTAGGTCTCAAGTTCAAAATCAATCATCATGCAGTCACTAAAAAAAAAATTAAAAAAAACAGTACAATGGTGTCAAGCAAAATAACATAAAGAAAGCACTAAGGCATAAAAAGAATGGGCCAGCTGGTAAACATGCACCGTATGACACTGTTAGTGTGAATAAGGCATCGGCACTCTTTTGCATTTCAATATGGTACTGGTGTGCATGAAAATGTACTGCTTAGATTACTGTCCAAATGTGCTCTTTACACCACTCTAATAGTTTTTGTGACACCCCTTCAATTCTTAAAAAAAAAGAGGGAAAAAAGAGCGCCGATTGCATCTTCGCAATAACAGTACCACACTGTGTACACAATGTGAATGAACAGCTCTGTAAACGCAGATGAAGAAAAGACACAACCAAGACAAGACAAACCTGTCCAGCTGTCCTGTCGTGGTTGTGTCTTTCCCTCGTCTGCATTTACAGAGCTCTCCATCCCCATTATAAAGAAAGCCCACCATCGACACAACGCTGAAGCAGATTCCAAAAGCAGAGAGTAAACCATCAATTGTGGGGACATTCCTTCCAGCTTCCGTTCCCCCAAACGTCGCAACCACGAGCGGCAGAGACAGACACTCACCGTTTCGGACTTGGGCTCCACCTTGGCCTGCCCCGAGAGCCGACTCGCAATGGCATGCATGATGGATAGCTTGGACACCTTCTTGGATTTCTTCTTGCGCAGGGGTGTCGACGATGGTGTAGACTCCCCAGAGTTGGCCTCCTTCGCCTTTTCCACGGGCTTGTCGTCGGGCAGCGGAAGTTCCTCGCTCGCCTCCGTCGACTCAGTCTTTACTGCGTCCCCATCCGCCTGCGAGGAATCCAGCTGACTGTCCAAGGCATCCTCCTTACGTTCATTGTCCCCTTTGGAAGAGTCCTCTCCTGCACCACTGTTCATCTCGATGTCGGACGCATTCTTTTCCGACTGCCTGCTGTCTTCGTTAGCACTGTGGTCACTCGATCCGTTCACCGCTTTAGACCCTGCGCCTTCCATGCGTTCCGCGGCGTCCGGGGAAGCGTTCTCGGGGCAGCCGTTGGTGACTCCGCCTTCTCCGCATTCCGCCATGTCGACGTCTTCCTCCTCCTGGCCTCCCGACTTGAGCTTGTCGGCGCCCTCCTTGGCGCACACGCCGGCCGCCGACTCGCCATTGGAGGTGGCCATTGCAGGCGCCTCTGTGTCCATCTTTTTCTTTACCCTGTGGAGGCGAAGCGTGTGGAGAGTGCTCTACTTGAAAGCGGCTTGTTTTGAACCTCGCGCAATAAGTCATCTTCGAAAGCATGAAATATGGCGAGAATGGCCGGATGCCCTGCTGCACATAGCTGACCTGTGGACTGCAAAAAGAGGCACTTTGCCTCATTAGAAAACTTTTCTGCAGGGAATGGGGCCTGGGATAACTGTAATCACCGACGGGGTGAGAGCAGCAGGGAGGGGCTCAGCGTGGGGTTCCGACCTTCGACAATACTTCGGCGTCTCGTGCACCCCGAGTGTGAACGTGCAGCCAAAGCAAGGCAAAAGGCATATAGCGCGTGCTGGAGGAGGAATGTTTGGAGACCAAGTGTTTGCAGCCACTGGCCCTGCTTCTGCGCTGCATCATTTTAAAACTCCTCAGGAGCCGGCTGGTCTGACAACAGGCGAGAGATTGATAAGGGGCATGTATTTAACTACCTCAAACGATTCCATACACTTAACAAAAAGAAAATTTAATTCTTTTAACTGGGGTGTTTTTTTTTTCTTTCTCTCAGTTTGAAGTGAGATGTGATCAAAAATATGTTTTAGGTGCAAATAAATAAGCACATTTAAAAGAAGTAGGTGCGTTTTGCCACTTGCTTCCTCGGAGCAACACAGGTGAACCGTAAAACTAGCGTACAACGCAGCACCCTTCACGTTAACGCAGCTATTCAATGTTGTAATAAATTTGTAAAAAAATTAATAAAAAGAAAACGGGAAAAGTTGCATAAACGTTAAGCAGCTAGAATCATTATTACTTGAGCTAGACTTCAGGTCAGTAGATAATCTATTGTAAAATATTGATCGTAGAGTTCATGGACTATGCAATGCGCCAATAACGTCACTACCATTTACGACATTCACAGCCCAGTAAAGATTGCGGGACGGCAGCGCTACCAACAGTTACGATCGTGGTGCAGATAAAAGGCAACGGACTACAGCAGCCAACATTCCGGCTTCCAAGCAAAAATTAAAAAAAAAAATAAATAAATACGCGAACACATTTTTTTTGCGGTGGACTTTGTGGCACGGACATAAGACAATTGCTTAAAATTAATATCTTTGCGAGTACGAAAAACAATCCTTGGAACAAGAGTCGCCAGAACAGAAAACATGCGTCGATATAAAGGTTCCCGGCACATTTCTTTGTTGACTTCGGTCTCAGTTAGCCAATCCTTTACGCGAATGTTTACCGTTTTAAACATTTCCGGCAGCTAGATACGCGAGCGATCTTTAATAAAGTTTCGCAGGTGCAATCGCACGCACTGCCAATCGCCATGTTTTAAAACACATTCGGGGAACGCCGAACTTGCAAAGGAACAGAGTTGTCACCGGCTTGCTGGCGTTTCAAGGATTAAATGAGGACGCTCCATCGTTACTCGGTGATGTTTCAGGTTCTTACCGATGCAGGACAGGGTAGCGAAGGTCACGGAACGAGAGTCATTCGTTGATGAAGCTCGAAACTTAAAAGTCACCACCTAAGCCTTTTCACCGCTAATAGACATTTTTTACACTGTCAAGTTCACATCTTCACAAATCATGCAAAGCTATCAAAGTGACACCGAACAACGTCGTAGAGCTGTTACGAGTTCGTGAACGCTACGCGGGCGTCAGTTTATCTTCACAAACTTTGCATTTACGCGAAAAAACTGACATTTACAAGACGGCGTGCGTACACCAAACAGAAATGTTCGCAAACCGCTAATGTTGTGCCGGATGTGCTTGTTACGTCACATCCGGTGATGAAGTGCTTTGCTTGCTTTGCTGCTCTGACAGCTTTGGTGCTCCACAATCTTGTGCTGCGTGCGTGTGCTTCCGAGCTTCTTTTTAGCATTGCGTTTTTTCGATGTTTTGGTACTGCCACGGTTGATGAATGGTAAGCTAAGAACGTTTGCTTATGCTTGTCCCACAGCGTGCCAGAACGGGACGCTGTGGGATCCCCTGTACGTGATACCGATATCACGGTATCATGCACTGGGAAACTGGCGGCATTTCAAAAGTATCCTAAGGAACTGTTCAGTAATCAACATAAGGAAATCCAATAAGCTTACCTTGCCTTATTTTTTTTTTTGTCAACGCTGATAAATATATATGTTAAAAATTTAAAAAAAAAAAAGCTTTTACCTGGATGCAGGGGCAGATCAACGGCAGATCCAAGGAGGGTGGGAGAAGAGGGGGGGGGGGGGGGGGGGGGGGCGGCGGCGGCGGCGGCCGCCCCCCCCCCCTCCCCCCAAGGTCGACCCCTCCCCCCCTCCCCCCTTCTCGGAGGGCCCCCCGGTGCACAAGAAAGAATGGGAGAATAGTACCCTTAAAAATCCCCCCCCCCCCCCTTTTTTTTTCCCAAAACGGAGTTCTGGATCCGCCCCTGCCTGGATGAGCAAGTTTAGCAGGGTTGAGGCATGTTGTAGTACCCAGACCTGGATCAATGTTTTTCAACAATAAGATAAATTTGTTTTAAAGTTAGAAAATCAGTGAAATAGAACTATTTGAAGTATATTTGAAAAGCAGATGACACAAGAGAGGCAGAAAAAAAGCACAATGGACGAGGGAATTATAGTAGGTGTGGTGCTGGACAGTTCCTGTAATGTGGGCAGTTTGGCGTAAGGGACACATGGGAACACACCCATCCAGTAAGTTAAAATGTGATCAAAGGCTGAGGGTTCTCACCTATCTGTCCAGCCCCGCGCACCACCATCTGTTTGTGTGTATTTATTTGTATTCATTCTCACAACAGTCTCGTGCAAGGACCAAAAGTATGAATAGATTGAAGTGGGGGATATGCAGTGATCAGGTAAAGTTTGCAAGTATTTTACATAGTAAGATGGAATACAAAACGAACCAACTGAGCTTAAAAGCCAAGATCTAAATCCCTTCATACTAGTGATGGGATTGGGTAAACTACCTCTGTAGAAAGAAAAGCAAATACGACTGATGGTTGGGGAATGGACAATATAAAGATATATGCAAGTAATAAACACAATAAGAAAAAAAAAAGTTAATAACTTGTGGGATGCGCCAGTGTTTAATTTTTACCCATAACTGTAGTATGTCATTATTGACAATGCACGGTATCATAGCGGGAAGACTGAATCTGTATCAACGATGGTGTCAAGGGGAAATGATATCTGGCACTGGCGGTAACCGGACAAAAGCTCACCGGACAGAAGCTCACCAAACAAAAACTCGCCCGTTTTTTCACAGACCCAAACAAAAGCTCACCTCTTTTTTTTTTTTTTGCTATTACGGGCAAAACATGGGCTGAGATAAAGTGCGGACGCGATAGACATTGCACCATTTTTAGGAGAACTGGCATCCCATCCCATGCAAAAGTGTCAACAGATAAGCCATAACAGGTAAAGAAGCAACAATTTGGGTTCAAAATTTAGGTCACTGAAACTGAGTGGAGCTGATAAGATCAAGCTTGCTTGACTCAAAGTATGCCGGAGCACCCTTGCACTATGCCCAAGAAATTTCGTGAGCCGAAGTTTTTGAACCCGAAGACTGACCGAAGAAGCAAAATCACCCTTTGTCGACTGCGCTTTTTCATTGTGCTTATATCACGCTAAACGCGCTCATAAAGGTTAGGCACAATATCTCTTCATTACTAATGCATGGGTTTTCTTTGGGTTCATGTTAATATTTGAAATGAATGGCTAGGAAAATTAAATTCATTCCGTCATTGAGTGTCGTAACTTTATTTGAAATCAAGGATTATCTCAGGGTGTTGTGAAAAGGAAACTGAAGGAAAACTGCAATATACAAACCATTGAGTTGCGAAGTTCTAAAAATATTTTCAAGGAACGGGAGTGTGGCCTTTTGGACAGATGACCAATTTAGAAAGCTGTAGGGAATTTGGATAGGCTCGCGTTCCTTCCGCCACAGCTTGTGCCCGGAGGACTAACCTATATCAGGGAAAAGTGTGCTGGTGACATCGGCAACCAGCTGAACTACTTTGATTGCACGTATGTCAACGACCCCTTCCGTTATGCTTCTGCTCCTTCTGCGGCGGCACCCAGAGCGAATTCTTCCCTTTGCCTGACTGCGTGCCGACGACGACCGGAGTTTCCCCCGGAACGGTGGAATATGTATGACGCCACTTTTCAAGGTAAAGACCGGACATAAACCTGCGAAGGATGGAATGCCGGGTTCCAGAATTTTGTCGGCCACGCCCATCCAAGCGTCTGGATGCTGATCGAATACCCACAGGAAAATCAGGCGTTCGTTGCCACGGCATTGACACAAGCCCGTAGAGGTGAACCCCCAAAGAAGCGGGTGCAAAAAACCACCCCGTGCCTGCAGAATGGTGTGAAAAATATTTTCGAGGGATTACAGGTACACCCAGGTCTACCAAAACTGCTGGAGCTAGTGGGTGATTGCATTCGCTTCTAACGAATCAATAAATAAACTTGTTTCTACTCTAAGCAACAAACCATGCGCCTGTCAGGTTTAATTTATCGTTGCATTTTAGAGTCGATCGCACACATGCTCCTAAGTTGTCTGCACACGTGTTAAGACCAACATGAAATTTTCTCCTGGTGAGCTTTTGTCCGGGTCTGAAAAAATGGGTGAGCTTTTGTCCAGTGAGCTTCTGTCCGGTAAGCTTTTGTCCAGCATTCGGCACTGGCTGCCTTCCAGGAGCATACTTTGAATGCCTCCAATGAAGGAGGGTGTGTACAGCAGTTACATACTGCTGCATGAAGTGCAACAAAGTGGAAGCTAATTTTCTCCCCCGAAATGTGTTTTGTCATAGCAGCTCCAAAGGCCATGTTTGTGTAAGTATGATACAGTTGGGTGTAGGTGGGTCAGATGACCGACAATGGACAGGAAAGCCAGTGGGGTGCTGAATACCGATGCTGTAATTGTGCAAACTAATATTTGCACAAAGGGCAAGGGTAACACTTGCAATGTTTTTATTAATAAAATATGTTTACATATAGATCTGCCATGAATGTATTATTGAAAATGCAGCACACATCTGGTCATTTCAGTAAGTAGTATTAATTGCAAGTCTCAAAGCCTGCCATCCAGCGTGATAGTTTTGGCTAATTTATTAATTTCAAAAGGAGGCACAGCACACAAAACTGGATGCACTGAATTACACAAAAAACTCCAAGGGGCTACCACAGTACCCTGGGTATCAGTTACAAAGGCTTGCCTTGTAAACCAGGCTCTAGTCATTATTCGTGGTGTGAATACCCCGGGTCACGGTAACGATGAACTTGTGCTCCATGGTAGAGATCTGTGCAGACTCAGGCTAGCCTGAAAGCCTGAGCCCGACTCGACAGTAGGGCTTGGGCCAATATACGAGAGAACATTGTTCGGGTCAGGTTCAAGTCGAATCTAGTTGGATGCATCAGAACCCGACGGCCCGGCTTTGCCAAATATTTCGGAATTGGGATAAATATTTATTTTATCTTTGAAAACCAAAAAAAGCAGCAGAAAGTTTATTTTAACACACAAAGCGCCAGTCTGGATGTTGTGCCGTGGGTCATTAGGTTCTATGCAAAGCCTGCTAAACTATGACGACCGTCAAGGTCAGTGGTTCTCAAATAAGAGTCTACAGCCCTTGCTAAGGCATTTCTAGGATCCGGGAAGCCTTGCTCATCAGTAAACTCCTCCTTTTTTTTTCGTATAGACATGCTTTGTGAACCAGACGGAATAGGATGAGCCACACGCAAAGAAGCTGAAAGCAGAAAAACCCAGCGGCTTCGAAGAATGGCCACAAGCCGAGAAACATTGCCCCAGCAACACAGAGTTGAAACGTTATGTAGACAGTGGCTACGGTTGTGTGGACATTGGGGACCTTCTTGAGTGGTGGAAATCTCGCGCAGAAAAATATCCCATGCTCAGCCAAATCATTCGAAGAATCCTGCGCATTCCAGTGACAACTGCGAGTAGCGAGCGAAATTTCAGCTGTGCTGGACTCGTGCTTTAACAGCGAAGGACGAGGTTGCCTCCGGAGTGTGTAGATACCATCTTGTTCCTTCACATTAATGTGTAAATATTCATGCACCTCATCATTAATATTTGTTTCTTAATTTTTTAATTGGGAGGTGCATGAGCCTCAGTTGTATATCAAAAACGATTTCAACTAAAGTTCTGTAACATCTTTAATCCTCTTCACTCTGTTCATGTTTCTTGAAACACTGTGACAACATATTTGCCATCTGATTTGCTGTTGCGCAGCATTGGGTCGAAAATCGGCTTAAATTTCCTAGCGTTATTGCTTGTTGTTCGCCTGTTTTTGTTGCTAACTTGGTCTTAATCGAAATGTTAACAAGTGAAATTATAAAGTTGTGCAAACTAAATATAATCTTAATTTTAAAAATATTCTTTGGTAAAAAATTTATTAAATACATTATCGTGCATGCTAAAATCATTTTCTTTATTTCTTCTTTCAATCAAGCCGGATTTCTGTTGTCCGTATCATCGTTAAACAGCCTGGGTAAATAAAATAGTTGTGCGGACCTTTGACAGAAATCTGTTTGATTTACGAGATTGGAAGTTCTCATTCAATATGAACGGTATCAAGCAAAACAAAGGGAGCCGTAGAACTAACAGAAAACACAGAAAAGAGCAGTCGGGCCAGGTTCGAGCCAAATTTGTTTTTGGTGTTTAGAAAGCCGGCTCGGGCCGGGTTTGGACCAAGGCGTTATTAGAGCACTATATAGCTCCTACGGAGCAGAGTAGCGCAATCCTTTGAACCCCGTGTTTTGCCGACAACATGGCCGACAGAGCGGCTCGGCGTGAGTCACGTGGTACTCAG